ACCATAATTTTCATTTATTGTTAAAAAATATCGATAAATATTAACTTTATAAAAATGAAAGACATGGAACAGATGATTTTACTGGTGATATAAATTATAGGGTGTCCCATTTAAATAAAACAAGAAAATCAAGGGTCTGAGTATTGAGTCTCCCTGTATACAAATAAAGAGATAATAAAAATATAACTAAAAAAAAAGTATAATACATCATATTATAAAATTCGTGTGGGTAAAAAAAATTTTTTTTCTACAGTGTGTAATTGGCTGCTGGACGTTAAATTATGTACGATTCTCTCACAAAAATGTCAATTCCTTGACAAGTACCCTATATAACATAGACAAACCATATATTAGAAGAATGGAAAAAAGATAAGTAAACAGAATCTAAAATAATATACTGGGGTTATCATTAAAAAAAAACATATGTTTGGTTCGTACACGAGCTATGCAACACCCTGTATACCTCCCAATAATTTTAAAATGTTAACCTCAAACATGTCCATAATTTTCTTAATACACTTTTTTAATATCTCTTTCAACAAGGAAGATATCAAACTTTTCCACAAGATTGGTCCACCCTGTATATGATGGAGATAAAATATTAGAGAACTATAAATTCAGGGCACAAGAAGGAATTGGAGGGAATTTTGTTGTCGTCTTGTGTAAAACGATGAAAAAGCCTGCTTTGACTTTTTTTACTTCGACATCTACTTTACTTCATTTGACTTAATTAACTTTCTTCGGTATAAATATGAAACCGCATCAATAATCAAAAGGTACGATAAAGTACAAAAAAAAATCAGAGATTGTTTATCCCAATATTTTTAGGCATTACAACTCATAAATGGATTGATACTATAAGCATGTTGGTGAGTTTGTATGGGATCCCTTTAAAAACAAGTCGTTGGTATCTATTTTCGCCCAGATGTTAAAAATTTCGCTAAATAATGTTTGGTTATTGCATCGGCGCGAAAGAGCTTTACTGCATGAAGAAGGCAATCAGCATTAAAAGACTTTAGGATGAAACAGCACAAGTACTAAAGATGAAAGACATTCTAAGAAACGCGAATCTTTGGAAGATTTAAAAGAAAAAAAATAGAGATCCATTGCCTATAATTACCCCAAATAATAAACTAAACAGTAGACTGATGATTAAGAAGAAAAAGAAGAGAAGAAGAAGAAGAAGAAGAAGAAGAAGAAGAAGAAGAAGAAGAAGAAGAAGAAGAAGAAGAAGAAGAAGAAAGTAAGAAGAAGAAGAAGAAGAAGAAGAAGAAGAAGAAGAAGAAGAAGAAGAAGAAGAAGAAGAAGAAGAAGAAGAAGAAGAAGAAGAAGAAGAAGAAGAAGAAGAAGAAGAAGAAGAAGAAGAGAAGAAGAAGAAGAAGAAGAAGAAGAAAAGAAGAAGAAGAAGAGAAGAAGAAGAAGAAGAAGAAGAAGAAGAAGAAAGAAAAAGAAGAAAAGAAGAAGAAAAGAAGAAAGAAGAAGAAGAAGAAGAAGAAGAAGAAGAAAAGAAGAAGAAGAAGAAGAAGAAGAAGAAGAAGAAGAAGAAGAAGAAAAGAAGAAGAAGAAGAGAAGAGAAGAAAAGAAGAAGAAGAAGAAGAAGAAGAAGAAGAAGAAGAAGAAGAAGAAGAAGAAGAAGAAGAAGAAGAAGAAGAAGAAGAAGAAGAAGAAGAAGAAGAAGAAGAAGAAGAAGAAGAAGAAGAAGGAAGAAGAAGAAAGAAGAAGAAGAAGAAGAAGAAGAAGAAGGAAGAGAAGAAGAAGAAGAAGAAAATCTAATGATAAACAAGTAGAAAATTTATGTTGAAAACTCGTCATATCTCTATTCCACTAGGGCATGCGGCTCTTTGGTCCCTTGAGTGTGGCTCTTCCATAAACTACAATGTGCGGGATCGCACATATAGTGCGATTAAAACTTCGTGATGGCTGCTTTTCTTATTTCTATTTTTTCTTACTTAGTTGGTGTTTATGTCGTTATTGAAAAATAATTCCAGAAAGATAAAATATCAACGTATAGCGTACAATATAAATTACTTCTAAGCATGTATCTCAGCAGAAAAGACTAGAATTGTAGTAAAAATCTGTTGTTAGCACTTTTATTGTCTCTGTCTCCAATGTTCCATTTTGAATTACTTTCCAAGCCTGTTGAAATTGTGATATTTACAATTTTTATTTTAAATCAATATTTTTAAATATAATATAATTTAATGTAATCAATAAATAATATCGTTATTAAATATGTTATCAAGTTTTATTCAACGCACCTATAATTTAAGACTTAAAAGTTAAAAGTTTATAAGTTAATAAACATTTTAAGTATTCCGACATGCACTGTAACGTTCATTTTTGGCCCCACGAATTAATAAAATTGTTTTGGCTTACCTGGTTAATCATACGAAAAAAAAGGGTAAAATCGTATTGATGATATCACTATTATTTTTGTCATTAACTAATTTCACCTGTATTCTAACTTTCGGACATCATTATTACAATTTATTTCATCTCACCACTAAGTAAAAGGATAGTAGTTCTCCTAAAAATAGACCAAGTTTCGTTGTAAATTTATACATATTATGTATTATAGTCTCACCTTTGGGTAATTAATTATTTACGATACCATTCTTTAAGATTTTCTTTATTTATTTTTGTTATAGATGTCAGGTTAGGTTAATATTTTTTAATTGTGACAGTGAAGACATAAACGTCACTTGACGACAGAACACCGACAAGTGTCATGTTTGTAGTACGTTCCAATATCGGGCTCAGAACCCGAGGTAAGGTAGTTTCACAATGAACGATTTTAAGTCGTGAGGGATTTTTTTTGCGATCGCTGTTGTATTAATTTTTGTCGGGAACAGTTTCCCAAATACTGTATATAAATATAGTTTTTAGGGTACCTTTCGTAAATGGTCTGTTAAGTTATATAGTGGGGAATTCTTGAGGATGAATTTCTGAACCCACTTGACATTTATCGGAAAAGGATTTCGGCCATTTTGGACGGCTGACGTATTGTTTCTGTCAGTGGGTGTTGAGTCACAAGGAAGACGATTTTTGTGTCGAAATAGAATTTTCTTAATATTTAGCCCCATCGGCTTACCCTAATTAAAGGGGATTTTAGATTCTACTTCATGGTTAATTGTGGGTAAATGGACATTTCGTATTTTGAGAGGAATTTTAGTGTATTGGTAAATTCCTATGGTCATTGGTCCAGCCCATATCTATTATAGGATTTTAACGCAAGAATTGGACGTTCACAGCATTTGGAGTGTGGAATATTGTTGTGCTGTGGATCTTCTCACGTGTTTCTCATCCTTGGAAGACTACCAAGTTAACCCTTTACGAAAAAGGTATGTTTTGTATATATTTGGTTATGTTACGCACCATGTGGCTGTCAATTTCTTTTATGTTATGGCATGGTGTAACAGAATATTAATTATTTGAGCTCATAATACTGTTTATGACTCACTGTTGAGCCAATGTAATCTTTCTTTATCCTAGATGCTGAATATTTTCTAATTTATGTACATTTTTGGGTAATCCTATAGTTCGGGATACTTGAGTCAATGTGTATTGACATTTTTCTTTGTAATATTTTAAGGGTTTCACCCAGGGGCCTGTTAGCCCAAGATTCGTCGACAATTTTCACCCAGGGGCTTGTTAGCCCAAGATTCGTCGACAGTTTCACACAGGGGGTTGTTAGCCCAGGATTAGACGACAGTTTCACCCAGGGGGTTGTTGACCCAGGATTTCAACAGTTGTACACAGAGGGTTATATCGTCCGGAGTTCAACGGTTTCATCGAGGGAACACAGAACATTGGTATGCTAACCACCTAGCTTACTTGTAGCTAGATTTACAATGATGATTCTCGTTCTGGATAGGAAGATGGGAATGCTGTGAAAGAAGACACCCTACTATCAGGTTTTTCTTATACGTTATATTGTAGGTTACAGCACAATTGCACGCAGTATCCTAAGAAATTAAGAGTTTGCAATAGTATTTTAAGGGACCACATTATTGACCTTTTTTCACTTAAGTCAAAAATATTATTTAATTCAAAACCGAGTTATTATGTTTCACTTACATATAATTCCTAATTCTAGAATCAGAGAATTAAGTAAATATTGTATTTATTTAATTAACGAGAACTACATCTCACAATAGATCATGCATTACTAAATTGGAACTTTTTAGGAGCTCGCACGCTCGAAGGTCACAAAAGAGGTGGTAGTCATTACACACAAAATATAGGGATGGATGTTCACTCGTAGTGCCATAACCTATGTTTCGTATAATTTTTTCCCAATCTGTATAAAGAGGATAAACGATGAGAGGTAGACGAACTAAGTATACAAGACGAGTGTGGATAAGAGAGTTGGAAAGGGTCGGCCTCAGCAAACGTTTCTCAATCAGTTTGAGGACGTTTTTTGCAAAGGCCAGCTTAGGAGTACCCTAATTTAGTTAACAACAATGTACCTATCTATTTAGTTTAAGTTTAAAAAATTTGTCTCTCAAAATAAATTTAGGTCGTTTTACTGTTGCTATTTGGCTCTGTTGACTAATAAGTTTGCCGACCCCTGCACTAGAGTAAACTAGACAGCTCACTAATTAAAAATATAACAAGAAATTTTATGTTAATATAAACATATTTAGTATTATGGTCCGGATCTTAGTATAGGTATTAATTTATACGTAAAATATATGTCGTACAACCCATTTTCAGTCATTCCGCCCCTAATATTCGTGTACGTCATCACCCTTTAGTTGCTCGCCTTTGTTCCACTGTTCTGACCAAATATATTCTTTGGAAAATACATTTTCTTTTGATATATCTTCTATAAGAAATGAAATTTCTTCCATTAATTGAGGAGAAAATTATGGCTTTCGTTGAGGAGAAAATAAAAGAAATGGCATAAAAATCAGGGCCGGACTGGTCCAAAATGGCTCGCCATATAGGTACTTATACATTACTATTAAAGGTTAAATATTTTTTATTTTTTTTTTCAGAATGTTGCCAAAAGTCGGGTTAAAGTAATACACATAGTCAGAGCTCCATCGTATGTAAGTGTAATTGTTAATATAACTAAGAAATTCATGAAAAAGAAAATGGCCGACAGGGTAAGTTAACCATTATTAATTATTTAAATATTTTAATTTTTTCTTTAAACTAAAAGTCGAATTATTCTTCTGAATTAATAGTCGAATATTTTATGTTCAGTCTCTTTTAAAATTGCGATTGGTTAGGATATGACACTAATCGCTAAAATCCCTTTGATTTGCACATAGGTACATAGGTTAATGTACTGGGAACGGTCGCACTGCGCATCTTTCTCTCTATTAGGCATTCCAACGACCTGTCCAAATGGCTACCAGTGGGTAATGACAGGTTAGATATGGCAACCCTGTTGTCATGTTGTCAATTAACAGGGTCAATGATACATATCTAGTTATATAGATTGTTGGAAGCTGGTCGTTTACGAACGGCCATATTGCCTGACAAATATTTATTAATTTGAATCTGTTTAGCAAAAATGTGTTTTAAAACCAATTTTTAGCCTTTAGATATTTAAAAAAAAATAATTGCTTACATTTTTACTTTAAGGCATAAGCTTATGTTTATTTTGAAAAATATGGATGATCAATCTATGTAACTATCTATTTCATTGACCTTGTCAAATCACCAGGCCTACAGGGTTGCCATAATTTTGCCATATCATAACCCATCAGAACCCACTGGTAGCCATTCAGTTTGGAATGCCCAATTGAAAATTGAAAGGATATAAAAAATTTCCGTCCATTTGATCTGTTTTGTGTTGCCTAAATCTTGGCGCGATATTTTGATACATTTACCTGAACCTACACTAACAAACTATAACAAGGTCGGTAATTTCGGGTGGCAGGGTGTCGTAATGTGTTGTATGTCTTTTTAAAGTAGTTGTCTCGTTTCTAGTTTTTTGTATAATATGTATGAGTAGTTTTGTTTCTTTTTTAAGATTTTTTACAGTCTGAATGCTGTTATTAATTATGTGTCAAGTTTGTATCTGTATTGTATCCAGTTTGTCGATTTGTAGTCGTAATATTGAGTCTTTTGTCTTTGTATTTTGTTTGTTGTCCATATTTACAGGTATACTGGATCGTGATCAGAGTTCAGGGAGGTGATCGTTCTCATATTTCTAATATCGGGGATATCCAGTGTACTGGGACTGTATGCGGGGTTAGTCGGGAAGTATGTCGGTTCTTCTGTATAGTGTATAAGGCAATTGTCCTCGGTGAAGTCTCTCAAAACTCTACCGCTTGCGTTGTAGTACGCACAATAAGAGTCCCATTCCTAATGTTTGGCATTAAGATCCCTGCAAGAAAAACCCTGTTTCCTTTTAACATTAATCTGTGCAGATCTCTACCTAAAAGTGTGGATCTGAGAGGGTTATATGCCCCTATAATTGTGATGTTACTTACCTCTATGATAATATTCTCAAATCTTCTAGAAATGTTTGGGATTTCTTTAAATTGCAATTCGTTTTTAATAATGATAGCTACCCCCAGAAGCGTTTCTAAGGTGTGGTATGTTTCTGTTTTCTCTAAGTATAGTGTAGTTAAATATTTTTACTTTTTCTGTCGGTTTTAAAAACGTTTCTGTTACTATGATAATGTCGAAATTATGCTTGTGAATGAAATTGCTGACAAGCCCGATCTTGTTCAGCAGCCCGAGCACATTGAAAAAAACAGATTTTGAGTTTCTCTCTGTTAATATTGTTAAACTTAGTTTCGTATGTTGTAGGAGTCTAGGTTACTTAGGTCTCGGACGGCTCGGGTAAGGGCGGCTATATTTACCTTTGAATTTAATTCTTGGAAATCTGTGTTAAGGGCGAGGAAATCGTCCATTCATCCTGATTGTTGGCTGTAGTCTTCATTTGCTCTTCTGTTTTGGGGTTGTGATTGGGGTAAAGGATATACTTTATTATTGTTTGGGAGGGGTGGGTGGGTAATCTCTGAGTTCTTTGATGGTTGGGTTTCTGTTTCTATCCCATGCATTCCTGATTAATGGGGGTGCTTGAACGTATTTCGCTTTCGACTTTTGAGCTAATCTTCTTTCTTCTAACCTAGTGGCCCTTTCTACATAAGCCTCGCATTTCGTGTAGTTGGCCGGGTGTTCGCCGTGACAGTTGGCACACGTGGCGGGGGTTTCTCTTGTCTTGGCGCAAGTGTTCATGAGATGGTCACCGGGACATTTTAAACATTCAGCTGGGTGGCCATAATTTGTTGTTGCGTGCCCCCACGCTTGACATCTATGGCATTGGATGATGGATTCCACAGCCCTTCGTAATTCCCAGGTAACCCTGACGTTTTTGTTCAAATAGTCAAGGGTTATTGCAGGGGTCTGTAACAATTAAATAAAGTGGCCTGTATTTGGTCGTCATGAGGTAAATTTCTTTGGCCTGGATCTCGTAAGTTTCTCTGAGATCATCCTTAATGTCATTTTTATTTGTCCCTTTGGCCATCCCCCTTAATAAAAAGGCGTGTGTCTTGTCGGCCTTACTAGTGTAGGTGTGATGTGGGATTTCAGCTTCAATAATATTATTTAGTAGTGCCTGGTAATCTTCATCATTTTCAGTGAAAATTACTGTTAGTTGTATTAGTGTATTTGATGGAGTACTTACCCTCAACGATTTCTTTCAGCTCTTTCGTTAGGTTGCTGTGATTGTCTGTACTTCTATCAATAACAATTTGGTGATATACTTTCTTTTGTTTTTGTGATCGTCTTATTATTGCTTTTAGCTTGGTTTTGCATCACAGATTTGCCTTTTATAGGTAAGTTAGGGGTGGCTTTACCTTTTTTTGAAGTTTTACTCGAGGTTTGTTCGATTTCACTCTTGCTTACTGAGTCGCTGATCGCTTTAAATCTGTTTTTTGTAGTGATTGTTGATTTAGCCTTTTGTTCTAGCAGTTTTGTAAAGTATATTCTAAATTTCTTTATCTTTTTAGGGTACTGGAAGTCGTCTGTTTCCATGTTATTATTTGTGGTTTCGTTTTGTTTTTCCTGAACCTTTTGTTGACTCACCGAAGAAATAATTTTCCTTTTCGGGAGTAGGGTTGGTTGTCTTCTTCCATGTTGAAGTTTTTCATCCTTTCGTCCTTGCTCGACGTCGCGGGGTGTGCCTCCGTGCCGAAATTCAGGACTTTTGCCGTGACCGTGACCGTGCTTGGCATCCTGAGGGTTTTATATGCTGACTCGAACTTCGGAAAGTTATCGTTTTTTACCGGCGGGGGTTGCACCACACTATGCTTTTTATATGGCACCGGTGCTCACTATTTTATAAACCGCACTACCGGTATTTTGTTGTGTTAGGTTTAACTCCGTATTTTTTGTAATAGATGGATGGTTTTCCGGCACTAAGTTATCCGTGTTTTTCGGTTGTGTTTCCGTACTTATTTCGGAGTTTTCACTATTGATATTTGTGAACTCGTATGCACTATTGAATGTGTTTATTACGCTCGTGTTTAATGGCGAGTTTTCCGCACTTTCAAAGGTGAGGGTGAGATCACTATCGGGGGAGTATCCGGACATCATGGGGCTGCTTGGGTGCGCTCCTCTTGGGTCTTCATCGGAAGGAGTGTAAAATGGTAAATTCTCCATACTTTTTTTCTGAAGATTTCTAGGTTGTATTTCCCAGATTTTTCTTCGTTATTTGATGGAGTGTGGTGGAAATCGGCATCATTTGCATTTTTTCGCTCTCTTTCTCTGCTGGAGCTAGAGCTGGAGTGCCTTTTTTCCTTTTTCTCTAAACTTTTATGGGTTCTGGATTGTGAATCCCTACTATCCCTGGAAGAGCTTGCTTTGTGTTTCCTGGGTTTAGGGGTGCTTACGTGCTTATATGGGTGGTGTATGCTACGTTTTAGTTTCAGGGATAACGGACTTCCTGGGCTTGTGGAGGATCCAGACAACCTGCGACTGTCTGTGTTTACCGTAAGCTATCTTCTCTTTTCCTCTTTTTCTCTGGCTCTTTTAGTGAATAGCGTTTCGCTGATAGGATCGTTTGCATCTCTGTCGTCCAGTCTTTAGGGTGGCTAGTTGTCCCTTCGGGTTCCGCTATGGGGTGTAACTGTTCTATAACAGTTGTTTATACTTATCCTGGCTTAACACGTGCTAAAAATCAAAAATGTAAACAATAAAAGTTAGGTTAAAAACCCTGGTGGCACAACTCGGTACTAGGTTTCGTCTCGAATTCAACACGCCTTCTCCAGATAAAGCACAGGGCAAGTTGCATTCGTAACTATTACCTAGTACTAGTAATAAGTTTCATGTTTATTAAAAATAAATAAACAAACGTTTTTCCTTTATTTATTGCTGTATTTAAAATCTCAAAATACCAAAATGTAGACTACCAAATTCACATTTTGGGAACCACTAGTATTTAGATTCATATTGCTGAAATTATATCTGTTAGTGATGGCATTGAATAAAGGAATATATATTCCTTTACTCAATGGTGACGGGCAATCCGGATCTTTTTAAAGATCTGGGTCAACGAATCTGGCTCAGTTGAATCTTTAAATATTGTATGTTAGTTCATTTGCGTTTATCATCAGCCCCATCCGTTGACATAATGTATAGTAACATAAAATATGTTACAATCTAAAAATTGACTAGGTAACTAAATCTGAATTAATATTTGAAATGTTTTTTACATACTATTTACATCTATAAAAGTGATTTTTGAATGATTTCAATACTTCCCTTTAGAGACAACTAAAAATAATTACTTGCATACAAACAAAATATCTACTAATTAAGAAATATATTCAAGGCGAAAATTGCACAATAAATTATTGGAATATTTCCTACTGCTGACTGATCCTAGATTCAATTTTGTTATCTCTGTTGTTATCTCTAACTTGCACCATATAGTAATCTAGTAATGTGGTGTAATGGTGTATTGACAATGTTAAAGTTCTTCTTCACCAACAGCTCTCCAAAAAATGTAACTTTGCTGAGTTGCAATCCATTATATACAAAATATTCTCTATGTTCCAGAAGTTTATACTAGTTTACTTCAAACAGTTTCAATTGGTTGGTCAGACTCGATTATTTACGTTGACTTCTTTCATGTGAGTCATAATTCCTTCTGAAGCGCATACAGATTCGAAAAAAAAAAAATAAATAAATAAATTGGCACCTTGAGACCACGCTAAGAATAATTTACGATTATTAAGTTTTGCCCGTGTAAGAATATAAATTAAATATTAGTTCTTTGTTTGCATCCCAAAAGAAACCAAAAAGAACCTTTTACTTTAAGTTAATAAATTAGTTTTGTTAAACTTTAGCTATTTGGAGTTAACATACTGTTAATCCTCTATTTTAGGTGGTTAAACTAACAAAAGTATACGCATTATGTTACCTACTTATAGTTCTTATTTTTAAATAGAATAATTCATTAACAAACAGCTGCGTATTCATCAAAAGAGCAAACGCGAACAAGGAACAAGCATTGTAGGATGAATAAAGAATGGTCGCTTGCTCTTGCTTGCTCTTTTCGTAAATATGCGGCATTACAGAAAAGTTTTTTGAACTTACCGATAAAATATTTACGAACAGTGTTCACGAACCAATGATCTAGCTACTCTAATCAGTATGGCATAATATCTGCACAGGAAAATCTCACGAACACTATACAAACAAATGTTTAGCTCAATACGCGGCTTTATTATAGGAATATAAGAAACTCGACTAAAAATTTATTATTTTGTCCAAATATCGACAATGTGCTAAAACATTTGAAATCAAAATTTATATGTTCTATTTTTGTTTTTGTTTTCAGATCCAAACTCATAAAGATTTCGAATCTCTTTATGATTCTGTACCTCAAGAATTATTACCAAGTGATTATGGGGGCAAGGAACCTCCAGTATCCGAGTTAATTGGTAATTATTTATTTATAATAATAAGGATATTTCAAATATGTTTGTGGAAATTAGAATTGAAATTATAAACAGTAACAAATGTACCACGGCGGAATATGTTATAATTGTATAAAGAAGCTAGAAAACAAAAGTAATAAAAATATAGAAATAACAATCAAGAAACTGTAATCTCTGTACTTGTGTATGTATTTTCGCCGAACACAAACCTTCTAATCAACGAAAGCGTCGGGAAATCGTAGAGGATAGGAACAAGGCAGATAAGGACTGCCAAGCTGGCGCTTTGTTCAGTAAATTACCTCTATACCCACTATGCATAAAAACGTTTTAAACAATCAATTCTACATCACATTGTTATGGTTGTTATATTGTAACTTTTGTGTCTCCATCTATGAACGCGCGATGGAGTCCTCCTAGGCGATTAGGTCTGCGATGTAAAGAAGTCAGATATGTAATTTGTACACATTACTGTGCTGACCTGTATGCGATATTATTTGGAGTTATATAAATTAACATCGTATAAATATTTGTCGCAGGAAGTAATTAAAGAGAAGTGCAAAAGATGTTTATGTAACTGCTAATACAAGTATTAGTGTGTACATGAAACTTCAATTGTAGATATATTTGAGGGATGTTAATGAATATGATGGTAACTATGGGATTTTAGTACTGTTTGAAAAATATATCGGAAAAGGTCTTTATAAAAAAAGTAAAAAAAAAGACTGGTAATTTTTTATATTTAGTGGTTGCTAATAAAATAATTATTGTTTATGATTTATTACCCAAGTCGTTTTTTGCAATTTTTTTTATTATAATAACTGTAATTAAGAGACAATAATTAGTTTAATTTTAATAAAATATTCTGTCTCATTAAACGATTAAACGAGTATATTATCTTCATTAAAATCTGCACCTTCTTTCTTTGCTGATATTTTTCGTTGCACTTTTTTGTTTTTATCTGTTTCAATATTTTTTTAACTTTTGAGTCGGAGATAACGTCACCGACTTCACCAGATTCTTCAGTAGCTCCATTTACTCTTTTTGATTTCCAAAAATACATATTTTTAAACTTTTATAAAAAATATAAAGCGATTTTATTAAAAATATATTTTCAGAAATGTGGAAAAACAAAGTTATGGAATACCAAGACAGATTCGATATGTGGGATAAAGTAATGCAAGAAGACCAGCAATAAATAGTTCAAATATTTGTGAATTGTTATTTATGCAAAAAGAAAGATATTACCTAGATTTAAGTGTAATTAAAATAATTTGTAACAAATTTTATTGCATAAATAAATTTATATTTTTAATTTAAGTTTAACGAGTTGTAATTTATTAAATACTTGAACATGCTCCCGTCATTATGCAACTAAAATATTTAAGATGCTGTTAGAGTCAGCGAATTAAAAGCCCGATGCTGCCCACCTGACTGTAATACAGCGAACTCGTGCAGCGTGCAGCATCCAAGCTAAGAGGGAACAGAAACACTAGACTTTTGGGCAGATGCAATCAAGTAGGTATTTATGCCATTTATTTGTTGAGTACGAAGGTTGTGAAGAAAAGTCCTTCCTATCTCACAGAGTCAATTTATTGGCGATCGGAGTAATTACTTCCTGATCAGGCACACCAAAACAATAAGTCATGTAGTCAATGTATTCAAAGGTAAGAATTATTAAATATAAAATAAAAATTGAACAGAAATTAAGAAATTTTTAAAAAGTAAAATAAACCAGTACGTTGTGCTGTTTTATTTCCCGTTTTCCGGCTAATTTTAATAGGTTATGGCCCCAGCTATGATACCCATTGAAGCCTTGTTGTTTGTTTAAGTGGAAAGTGAATAAAAAACTGTAAATAGAGCAAAATGGCTGTAAACTATATGGCAAATATTTCAAAGCTCAAAGGTCGCGAGAATTATGCTGATTAAGCATTTGCCATTCAAAAATTCCTCGTGTTGGAAGGGCTGTCGAAGTGCACGTTCGAAGTTGTAGCAGACAGTGACACCAAAGCGAAAGCGAAGATAATTTTAACAATTGATCCAAGCTTGTTTGTTCATATTAAGGAGGCGGCGACAACTGTTGACATGTGGAAAAAGTTGAAAAGTCTATTCGACGATTCTGGTCAAACTCGTAAAATTAGTTTGCTACGTAACTTGATTTCGACGAGACTTGAAGAATGATAAGTTATGTGAATCGTATAGTGAAAACCAGCCAAAATTTAAATGGAATTGGTTTTAACATTAGTGACGAATGGGTAGGGTCATTATTATTGGCGGGACTTCCAGGACATTTTTCCCTATGATCATGGCGATCGAGCACTCTGGTATCGCCATCTCTGCGGACATCATCAAAACGAAGCTTCTGGACATGGACGTTAGTGTCATTACCGGTAATAAAAATACCCTAGTTGCGAAAGGTTGACAGCACCGAAATTTTGATAAAAATGACAGACAGAAGTTTGACAATGACAGTAATTGTGGACAACGTAAACAAATATCATGTTGGAGATGTAAACAAAAGGGGCATGTACGATCAGCTTGTAGAAATCCCAGATTCTTTGAAGTAACAACTGTGGATGAGAATGAGCCATGTACAAGTGAAAATGCCTTCCCTGTATTGTTTTACGGTGGAAATTTTAATGCAGAGGACTGGTATATCGACTTCGGAGCAAGTTTCCACTTTACATCCAATAAAAACTGGGTTCGGAATAAAGTTTTTGATACTAAATTACCCGAAATAATGGTAGCAAACAAGGAAAAACTGCCAGCAACGTCCATAGGTGAAGCCTTAATAAAGACTATTGTTAAAAATAAAACTTTTCAAATCCCTCTAAGAAATATATGTATACCAGGCCTGTCAACGAATTTACTATCTGTAAGTCAATTGATACAAAACGGAAATTCAGTTAAATTTGAATATAATTGTAGCAATATTTTTAACCGGCAAAATGAGTTAGTTCCGACAGCAAACTTGGTGTTTACAAATTGAATGTGGCCAAACAAAATGGTTTACCTGCAGTGCTTGCCACGGGCTACACCTGGCATCGACGTTTAGGCCACATAAACTCGACAGATCTAAACAAAATGAAAAATTGAGCTGTAGAAGGCCTGGATTGTAAAAATAATGCTGATTTTAAAAAGGAAAATTGTACCATCTGTTGCAAAGGTAAGCAATCTCGGTTACCCTTCAATAAATCTGACACAAGAGCTTCAACGATTTTGGAAATAATTCATGCACAAGTATGTGGCCCCATGGATGAGTGTTCTATTGGTGGTTCTAATTATTTTGTAATATTTGAAGATGATTTCGGTAGGATGGGATTCATTTACTTTTTGAAAAGAATCAATGGTAGAAAAACAAAAACGGAACACAATAAAAATTTTCAGATCTGATAATGGGGGTGAATTTTGTTCAAACATTTTTAATGATTACTTAAAACAGAAAGGTATAATTCACCAGACAACAAATAGTTATACCGCTGAGCAGAATGGCATATCTGAACGGCTTAACCGTACACCGGTTGAGAGAGCGAGGTGTATGTTATTTGATGCTGGTCTAACTAAAAAATGTTGGGCCGAGGCAACATACACGGCTATGTATCTACGAAATAGGTCGGTAGGATCAGGAATAAATGGCAAACGCCATTTGAAATTTGGCATAAACAAAAACCTGACCTAAAAAATATTAGAATATTTGGAAGTAAAGTAATGGTCCATACAGCTAAACCAAGAAAGAAGAAAATGGGATGAAAAGGCCAAAGAAATTATTTTAGTTGGTTATAGCGAAAGAACAACTTAGCGGTGAAGGCCATGGACAGTTCATTAAAAAGTATAGCAGTTTTTTTAGACCTTGCCAAAGCATTCGATACTGTGGATCACAATTTATTATTACAAAAATTACATAATTATGGCATTAGAGGTATAGCTTCGGATTTAATGAAAAACTACTTGACTGATAGAATACAAAGAGTTAAAATTGGCAACGTAATAAGTTCCGATTGTAATGTTCTAACTGGAGTACCGCAGGGGACCATATTAGGACCAATACTATTTCTTGTATATATAAATATTATAACCAAAATTAACAATTTTAAAGGTCATATAGTTTGTTACGCCGATGATACAGCACTAATATTTACTGAAACAACACGGGAAAAAGCCCAAAAAATAGCGGAAACTAACTTGAAAAAAATCCATAACTGGCTAAATAATAATAAGCTATCACTTAATGTTAATAAAACTAAATATATTACGTTTTCCCCAACAATAGTAGATCAACCAAACAACTTAATTATTAAATTCCACAAATCACAGTGTAATAAAGAAAAAGATTGTAACTGTCAATCTATACAAAAAACAAATTCACTAAAGTACCTTGGAGTCATAATAGATCAAAATTTAAGATGGTCTGAGCATATTGGATATGTAACAAAAAGAATCCGAATTTTGATGCACAAATTCTATGAAATGCGTGATATATTAACTAAAAAAATTTTAATTATAGTGTACAACTCTCTGGTTGAATCAATTATTAGGTATTGCATTACTGCCTGGGGCGCAACATTCAAAACAACACTCAATCCACTGCAAATATCACAAAATATAATACTAAAAATAATTTTTAAAAAAGAGAGGCTTTATTCCACACAAAACTTATATCAAGAAACTAATCTTTTAAATATTAGGTCAAGTTATATTTACCAATGTCTCCTAAGAATGTTTGACCAACAAATTAAATGCCCTCAACAAAACATAAAAGAAACACGTTCTAAACTGAATCTAAATGTAACAACAGATTTATTTAAAAAAACTGTTACTCAGAACTCCTTTCTTTTCTTTGGGCCGAAATTATTTAATGTACTACCTAAACATATAAAAGAAATAAAAATATATAAAACATACAAAATAGAAGTAAAAAAGTATATACTCAATCATCCTTATATATTTCTGATGTTCTCATGATAATAACAGCTGTTAAAATGTATTTAAGATAATGTAACCATAAATTAATAACTGATTCTCACCCCCCCACCGAAGCTGCCATCATTACCTCTCTGAAAAAATCACAATTCAAAATGTCTTTATACATGAAAAATAGATGTAAAACACTACACACCCTTAAATAATGTAAACAGAGCGCCTCATAAAATTGCTTCACACAGGACAGGCAACCATGCCTAGAGTGGTAGCCATTTTATGAGACGCTAACTAATTGTAAAGTAATTGTATATAAATGTATATTAAAAAAAAATGTTAATAAATAAATAAAAAAAAAATAAAAAAAAAATATAGAGTCTACAACCCTGAAACAGGAGAGATAAAGATTAGCAGAGATGTTATGATTATGGCTAATTGTAAAAATGACACTGTTGAAATACCTATTAGAGAAAAGCCAGTTTCAGTGGGGGATAATCCTGAGCAAAATAATGATTAAATGTTGAATATTTCTACAAATAAAAGTGAAGAATATAATACTGATGAACCGGAAGATGCTGAATATGTACCTGATACAGCTGTCGAACTTCCTAAAAACATAAGGAGGTCTCAGCGTGACAAGAAAGAAAAGCAATTTCAAGATTATGTGACATATCTGTATTCCGGTAGTGAAATAAGCAGTAGTGATGATCTGATTAGCGTTAGTGAAGCAATTTCAGGTCCAGACAAGGACAAATGGCGACAAGCAGTGGTAGAAGAATATCATTCTTTCATGGAGAATAATGCCTGGGAAATTGTTGAAAACCGGAAGGTAAAAATGTGGTAAAGTGTAAGTAAGAAATAGTGACGGAAGTGCGAGTTACCGAGCTAGGCTCGTTGCAAAAGGTTTCACACAAAAATCCGGTATTGATTATAATGGAACCTTCTCACCAGTGGTAAGACATTCCACAATACGGTTACTTATTGCTTTATCTGTTGATTTAGACTTAAGTATAACTCATCTCGATGTTATGACAGCGTTTTTAAATGGCCATTTAAATGAATTGTTATTCATGGAACAACCTGAAGGTTTTAAAATATTTAATAATGAAAATAAAGTTTGTAAACTAAAAAGAGCCATTTACGGTTTGAAACAATCTGCTAGAGTTTAGTATGAGAATGTAGACCAAGTAATTACTAAACTAGATTATAAAAAATCAGATTTTGAGCATTGTGTATTCATAAAAAACAAAGATGAGCTGTTGACAACAGTAGTTTTATATGTAGATGACTTTTTTGTTTTTTC